CCGCAGCCCGCCTCAGGCCGCTCCTGGTTGTGTGACTGTACTTATATGGCCCGCATCACTATAATTTCAGAACACTTCATAATTGCTAATGAATTTTTACCCTTTCGGCACCTATGTGACGTAGACATACTTGCCCCACTGCATAGATGGGAAACTGAGGCACAAGTGTATTAAATGATGTGCCTCAAATCAAAGAGAGAGGCAAGGGCTATGTTTTTATTCTGTGTTTGTACAGCGCCTGGCACAATGGGATCCTGGTGCATGCCTGGGACTTGTAGGTACTACAGTAGTGCACGTGGTAATCGTTATAATAAAATTCTAGGATTGGCACTCTAAGTGCCACTCTGAAGCCAAGAATTTCTGTGGGCTCAGTGTGAAGTGGTGGAAACATCCAGAAGCATGACTGAAAGTTTTGTTTTTATTTAGAATATCAGGCTTCATCACTACTAGGCCTGGCAGCCTGTTACCTGTGGAACTCCTTGTGAGATGATGTTATAAGGACAGGACTTTAACAGGGTTGAAAAAAGAACAAGATAAGTTCATGGATGATAAGTTCATCAATAGTTATTAACCAGGATGGGTAGGAATGGTGTCCCTATCCTCTATTTGTCAGAAGCAGAGAATAGGTGACAGGAGAGCAATCACTTGATGCTTCCCTTTTCTGTTCATTCCCTCTGGTGCACTTGGCGTTGGCTACTGTCAGAAGGCAGGACACTGGACTAGATGGACCTTTGGTTTGACCAAGTAGGGCCGTTCTTATGTACCATCCAACTCAGTTCTCATTCATTTTTGCTTTGACTTTATGGAGTAGGCCTGTGTTACATCACAGACTGTCAGCTAGTAGTGATAACGTCTCTAGAATTTCAGAGACAAGATGGGCGAGGAAATATCGCCCAGTTGGTCCTGTAGCCTTTTATCCACTAGATTGTCTTTCCCACCTTCCCCATTGAGGGGACCAATGCATCCTGACTTGCTCCTTTGCAGAGAGAGTCAAACTCGGGGTAGAACAAATGTTTACTGGAAGCATTGGGGATAGATTAGAGGTCAGTGATGGCAGAGCTGGAAGTGGCCTTGGAATTGGGACTTCACCACATTGCTTCAGTTTATCCATCCATAAATTGAAGAAGGTGATGCTTTGCTCCATGATCTGTGGAAGTGCTATGTATTGTCAAGGTGCGGCGGGGGGAGTTCTGTGTCTAATCCACAGCTTGCAATGAGATTGGCTTCGCTGTAAGAGTCAAGCTGACATTCTGAGACCAGAGCCCTTGAATCTGAAGTATAATGGGAACACACAATCACTTGCCCTAGGCAATACAAATCTCTTTCTCTCTCTCTAAACACTCACGTTCTTTATTCAAACTGCATATGGTGGGTGTGCAAAGTAGGCTCCTAAATCAGACACATTTTCCCTACTGCACAGATGGAAAACTGAGGCACAGGTGAAATCACTGCTGTGACTCTTGACCTAAAAGTGATCTGATCTCCAGAGGTGCTTGGACACACAGCTCCAAGCTGCAGTTAAAGATCCCGGTCCTAAAATGAGTTCCACGTGATGCAATGAGTTCATGGGGAATAGGTCCATCAGTCGCTATTGGCCGAGATGATCAGGGATGCAAGCTCATGCTCTAGGGTGGGCCTGGATGACAGGGTATGAATCATTCAATTTCAAGATGCTTTAAAAATCTGTTGGGCCCTATTTGCCATTGCCCTGCATCTTGTGCAGCCATTCACACCAGTGCAAAGTGAGCGTGAAATGTACCTAAGTCACAGTATTAATGTTTTGCACCCATTCTGCCCTAGCATGTTGTGTTACAATTTCTTTGTGTTACAGTAGACCTAGAAGTCCCATTTGTGGGCCAGAACTCTGAAGTGCTAGGAGCTGTACAAATTAATGATGTACGCAACTAATTGACTAGTCCACACACTAATCGACTAGTCACTTCCCCCCTACCCTCCTTGCTGCCTCTATCAGAAAGAGGCAGCAAGGTGGGGGGGAAGAGGAGAGGTGCTGGGGGGAGCCGGCTTAAAAGCTGGTTCCCCCAAGCTCCAGCTCCGTGGGAGGGGACAAGGACGCAATGGTGGCGTTCCACCTTTGAAATGTACAAGAGTTCCCACTGGTGGCCCCAGACTCCATGCGGCTTTTCAATTTTTGAAATGCACAAGAGCCCCTGCTAGGATTCTCGTACATTTCAAAGACCAAACGCTCCATAGCATTTCTGACTTTTGAAATGTAGCAACAGCCGGGCATGCTCTTGCTACATTTCAAAGTAGAAGCGCCCTTATCGACTAATCAAAGAGTTAATTAATCTAATTTTAACATCCCTGGTACAAATACAGAACTAAAAGGCAGTCCCTGCCCCACAGAGCCTGCAATATAGTGATGGCATAAGTGGTGAAATCAACCCATTCATGGTCAGAAATTTGTTTCTTTTCAAGACCTTGTGGCTCTTTCCAGTGTGGTTGCCCTAAATACTCCTGCCTTCTGTTCATTACTTGTATGATGAATGAACCAGTTTGCTCCCATATTACCAAATGTGACTAGTAACCTGCTACTTTAACTGGTCATCCTTATTGGCTGGGGTGTGTGTGTGATATGAACAGGGTTATAAACGTGCACATAAATAGCTTGCCAAAATTCTTAATCTTCAATTACAATTTGACCTAATTATGTTTGATTATGGAATCACTAGGCTATTATCAGAGTGTTCAAAGTGCCTGCCTCTTTCCTTCCATAACCAAGAAACTTCAGTTAAATACTGTGGGAATGAGAAAAACAGTTGGTTGGTTAGTTAGAGGGTTTTTGGGGAGGTGGTGATGGGCAGCCTATTTAATCTTTTAAAAACTTATAGCTTTCCTCCCCACAGCTGACTTCCCATGCAATTCAAAGCTACCTTTGCAGGATAGTCTAGGGCTTTGATCCTGCAGCCACAACACATGTGGTTTTCCTGATGTGAGTAGAGCCATTGAACTCAGTGGGGCTACTTATGTGAGTAAAAGTAAACGTCTGCATAAGGGTTTGGGGTGTTCAGTACCCCACTCAAATCCCGTCTCGTAATCAACCCCGTCATTCCAGAATGCATCGTGAAGTGGTGAACAACAGGCTCACTCACACATGGGCTTTACACTGTTAAATCGAAGGTTCTACATTTTACATTCAAGGAGCCAAGAACGCAAATCACACTTATGGGGGTGCGGAGGGCTGTGTTTTGGACAGCAGTGAGTCAGAAAAGCACTTAAGAGCCACGGTGGCAAACCGGCAGAACCAGAGCTCCAGTGCATCGCACTGGGAGACAAAAGCAGATGTGTTCCTTGGATGTATTAGGGAGGGAGTACCAAGGAGAAGTTGGCAGGTGTTAAAACTGTTCTGCACGGTACTTGAGTAAGACTATTATCGCAAGACTGGGGCCAGTGCTGGTATCGAAAGGATGTGAGCAAATTAGAAAGGATTAAGAGCGACAACTAGGATTCAAGGTCTGGGAATCCTGCCTTACAGTAAGCGACTAAAGAAGTTCTCTAGTTTATCCAAGAGAAGGTTAGGAGGTGACTCCATCATAGTCTTGTAAGTACCTATGGGGAGGGAGGGATTTCTAAGAACAGGGGCCTCTTTATTGTAGCACACAAAGGCGCAAGAAATTCCTGTGGGTGGCAGATGCTGAGCGACACATTCAGCTTAGAAATAAGCTTCATATTTTTAACAGGGAGTGCAATTGACCATGTGGACAGTTTACATGAGAGTGTGGTGGATTCTGCATGACTTGAAGCCTTTAAACAAGGCCGTGATGTTCTAAAAAAGGTGCTCCAGTTCTCCCAGAACTTAGGGTGAAGAGATGGCGAAATTTTTTTGGTGAAATTCTCTAGTCTGTGTTCTACAGGAAGCCAGAGTAGAACATAAGAACGGCCATACTGGTCAGACCAAAGGTCCATCTAGCTCAGTATCCTGTCTGCCAACAGTGGCCAATACCAGATGCCCCAGGGGGAGTGAACAGAACAGGGGAACAGAGCAGGGAATCATCATGCGATTGCTCTCCTGTCATCCATTTCCAGCCTCTGACAAAGAGAGGCTAGAGACGCCCTTACAACCCATCTTGGCTAATTGTCTTTGACAGAGCTATCCTCTGTGAATTGGTCTAGTTCTTTAGAACTAGATAATCAAACTAGACTAGATAATCAAACCAGTCTCCTCTGGCATTAAAATCTACAAAGCCATGTTGATCTGTATGACCGTTTATCAGTATTGCTGCTTCCCCAGAAAACTTTCCCTTCTTTAGAATTACTTCCAGCGTCCTTCAAATGGCCCATCAGTTCTCAGAGCCAAACTACAGAAAGTTTGGCAGCCAGGTTTAAAAGTGGGAGAGCACTCAAAAGGTGTTGCCAGCCAGTGGATAGAGGTCTGGGCTAGGAGTCAACAGACGTCATTTGTGCCCATTCCTCCACT